AAAAAAAACCCCTGAAATTATACAAATTAGAAAGCAAAAAAAACAATTGAAACTATCAACAAAACTAGGAGTTGGTTCTTTTAAAAGGTCAATAAAATTGACAAATCACTAGCAAAACTAACAAAAGAAAAGAAGAAGAAGAAGACACAAATAATTCAAATAAGAGATGAATCAGGCAACATCACAACAGAACCAACTAAAATAAAAAGGCTTACATTAGAGTATTAAGAAAAACTATACTCAAACAAATATGAAAACCTAGAGGAAATGGACAAATAGTTAGAAATGCATAGCCTACCTAAACTGAAACAAACTGAAACTGAACACCTGAACAGACCCATTACAAAAGAAAAAATTGAAAACAACAACTTCCAACCAAAAAAAGCCCTGGACCAGATGGCTTTACAAATGAATTTATCCAACATTCAGAGAAGAATTGTCACCAATTTTACATAAACTATTTCAGAAAATAAAAAAGATAGAGTTCTCCTAGACTCATTCTATGAAGCAAACATATCCTTGATACCAAAGCCAAGAAAGGACACCACCAAAATAGAAAACTTTAGGCCAATATCTCTTATGAACATAGATGCAAAAATCCTGAATAAAATACTGGCCAATAGAATCCAACTATACATCAAAAAAATAATTCAACGTGACCAAGTGGGATTCATAACAGGTATGCAAGGATAGTGCAACATAAGAAAAACAGTCAGTGTAACTCATCATATTAACAAAGCAAAGAACAAGAACCACATGGTCCGAACAATTGATGCAAAAAAAGGCCTTTGACAAAATCCAACACCCTTTCCTGATTAAAACACTCAAGAAAATAAGATTAAAGGGGAATTTCTTCAACATAGTAAAAAGTATTTATGCAAACCCGAGAGCCAACATTGTTCTCAATGGAGAGAGGTTAAAGGCATTCTCTTTAAGAAGAGGAACTAGGCAAGGATGCCCACTATCACCTCTCTTATTCAATATTATATTGAAAGTCTTAGCAATAGCAATAAGGCAAGAGAAGGAAATAAGAGGTATCCAAATTGGCAAAGAGGATGAAAACTTATCTCTATACAGATATGATAGTATACATAGAAAACCCTTAAGACTCAGCAAGAAAACTATTAGACTTAGTTGACCAATTCAGCAAAGTGGCAGGATAAAAAGATCAACATACAAAAATCAGCTGGATTTCTCTACAGTGACAAAGATAATTCAGAGCTGAGGCTAAGAAAAACAATACCCTTCACAAGAGCTAATGACAAAATTAAATACTTGGGAGTAAGTCTAACCAGGATCACAAGGGATCTATTCAAAGAAAATTACAAAACATTACTACAAGAAACAAAAAGAGACCTGGAGAAGTGGAAGAATATCACTTGCTCATGGATAGGAAGACTCAATATTGTGAAAATGGCAATACTACCAAAGGCAATTTACATGTCCAATGCAATGTCAATACAAATACCAATTCCAGGCTTCAACAAGATGGAAAAGGCAATCTCTAGTTTCATTTGGAACGGAAAGAAGCCCCAAATAAGCAAAGCACTCCTTAAAAATACAAACAAGGTAGGAGGCATCTCACTGCCTGATTTCAAATCCTACTACACTGCTGTGGTGGTCAAGACAGCATGGTACTGGTACAATGACAGACACATAGATCAATGGAATAGAATTGAGAACCCGGATATCAGCCCATCTACCTATGGTCAACTAATTTTTGACAAGGAGGTGAAATAAGTTAAGGGGGAAAATGACAGCCTTTTTTATCAAATGGTGTTGGCAAAATTAGAAAACTATCTGCAGAAAACTCAACAAGATCCACACCTCACTCCATATACAAAAACCAATTCAAGTAGGTCATGGACCTAGGACTAAAACCAAGGACTATAAACTTTATTAAAGAAAAGCTTGGAAGAACTCTAGAAGTTCTAATCCACAACATCAACAGTCTTTCAAGCATCCTGACAAATCTACAACTAGGGAAGGATAAAATAGATGAACAATCAAATCCCTATGCACATCCAAAAACTTCCCCAACTGGGTAAAAATGGAAGCCACAGGCTGGAAAAAGGTATTTGGTAATGACATGTCAGATAAGGGATTTATATCTAGAATTTATAAAATACTTAAGCACCACAACAAGATAAAGGTAAACAACCCAGTTGGAAAATGGGCACAGGATATGAACAGACACTTCACCAAAGAAGACATTGAGATGGCAAACACATGAAGAAATGTTCAAAATCCCTAGCCCTAAGAGAGATACAAATCAAAGCAACCATGAGATATCATCTTACCCCAGTAAGAATAGCAAAATTTAACAGAACAGCAAACAACAAATGCTGGCGAGGTTTTGTAGAAATTGCAACCTTTATTCACTATTGGTAGAAATGTAAAATTGTGCAACCACTATGGAAGGCTGTATGGCGCTTTCTCAAAAAGTTGCAGATAGAAATACCATTTGACCCTGAAATTCTTCTACAGGGAATACACCCCAAAGAACCATAACTAACATCCAAGCAGATATATGCACACCCATGTTTATTGCAGCTTAGTTCACAATAGCAAAGAGTTGTGCCCATCAACCCAAGTGCCCATCAACAAATGAATGGATAGAGAAGCTGTGGTATATTCACACAATGGAATACTATGCTGTATTGAAAAACAAGAAACTCATGCAATATTATTCAAAATGGGTAACCCTGAAGAACATTACACTGAGTGAAATATCTAAGTTACAAAAGGACAAATACTGCATAGTGCCACTGTTGTAAAACAGGACTGACATGGGGGTTGGAGGAAGACTTAGAAAGATGGGTTCAATAGTGTATACTGCATTGAAACAGATGAGGGAGATAACTGTTTAAAAGGGATATGTGATTAGGTATTATTGTCATGACAGGAGTCCAGAACGAAGGCTGCATATTGGAGTGGACTTGGGAGGAGGGATTGTATAACAATGAAAGACTTTTTCTTTTAATTTTCAAAGAGAAGAGTAAATTGGGAGGGAAGTGGGGACAGGGAGAAAAGTGCAACAATGAATGAATGGAAATACAAAATCTCTGCAAATTTTCATTTTAAATAATAATAATAGGCAAAAAAAAATCAGAAAGGAAGCAATGCTAAGTAATTGAAGGTATAAATTAACCTTTTCATTTCTCAGGCTTGCCAGAGCAGAAGTAAAATTTGACACCTTGACCATAGTTATTGTAATTTTGGTGACCTCAGGCCAGTAGTTGTTAGGTGTCATTGAGGTGGCTTCAACTAATAACACTTTGTACCACAGAATCAAACAATGCTCGATCCCGGGACATCTTCACAATCTCTGCTATGCTGAAGCCTATTGTTGCAGTCATTGTGTCAATCCAATGCATTGTATTAGACTAGTAGACACTTTAATTCCCAATTCACTGAATTAAACTAGGTTCACTACTGCTGAGGATCCTGTGTCCTACAAATATTACATCATCCACCATCCTGCTTCTCTTCCAGATTCTACTATATCTGATTTCTCTTCTCCTCTCCTGACTCCTAGCCTTAGATAAGGGTCATAATTTCTACAGTCCCTTGAAATTGGTACTCATTGGATGAATTAAAGACTATTGAGTGGGAAAAGATCTCAAGAGCATCTCTCCCAATTTTCCAATTTTTCACATGAGAGAGCTAATATTCAGAGCAAGAATCGGCCCAGAATCAATTCCTCTTCCAGCAGACTGCCAAGGATTAAACGTATGGGCAAAGGGTAGAACTTTCTGAAGAAGACAAATGATCACAGAGAGGAGGAAAGTAAAGGGGAAAGGGCATAGAGTTGAAGAAAATGAAAGAGAAATCAGGATAGAATCTGAGATTACAGAAAGACCACAAAAGGGGGAAAGTTTTTGGAAAAAAGCAACTGGATCAAGATCAGGAGAAAATAAAGATTTATGGACTTTACTTCAAGGATAGTGCTTCTTTTTGATGGGTGTATATTTATTTCTGCCTTACCAATGTAGAAAATCATGTACACCATCGAAAAGCAGAGAATGACGTTAGTCAGCGTGTTGCTTAGAAGGTCAATCAATATAAACTGAATGATCCTTGCACCTACATAGCCACATATTATGCTTCCAATAATTTCCAAGGAGAAATTTAAAAATATATCTAAATCTAGAAAAAGAAAACAAGAAACAAAAAACTGAGTTAACATTTTTATTATTTTATTGATTGCATTTAAATCCATCGACTTTGATTTATTAAGATTTTGAATGAGGAATCTGTTTTTCACTAGATGAGTGTTCCCAATGAAAACCTGGCAAAGAGGCTTGGCTGGGGGTGAAAGGAGGAGGGTGGTCATTTCCCTTCCACTTGGCTTATCCAAACCAGTAGGCAGAAACGCTCTCAGGAGCCTAACAGGGAACGTAAATGTGAAAAGCTGGTGACAAAATAGTTAGCAAACGCAGAACTAAAAGCCATGATAAACCAAACTATGTTGCTGTTGCTTGTCACTGAGTTGGAACGAACCCATAGTTGGCCCTCCAGCAAGTTTTAAATCACATGGGAGGACATTGACCATCTTTGTCCTGTGGAACAGCTGGTGGATTAGAACCTCATGTCTTTAAGATTGCAGTGCAGCTTCTTGTCACTAGGCCTCCAACAAATTATTGCCGCTAGGCCCAAGATTCCTGCTGACCTGCAGGCAGTTTGTGGCTACTGTTCCTATCCCAGGGGGCACTTAAGAAATAGAGAATGCACCATATACGCATTATTTTAGAAAATAAGCAGAAAAAATACTCTTACCCTTAATCAAATGCACTTGAAATATGGTGATCCGGAAAACGTCAAACACAAGAGATGTGATACAACATATGATCAGTGATTCTCCTCTAATGACATCAGTAAACATTTTGGAAACACCTGGAAAAAGGAATATAAAATATGACTTAATGAAGTATGTAAAAATGATGCTCCTTCACTAGAAATAGGAAGGAAGTGAACATGCTAGGGGCAGGGGGAGAAGGCAACCATGACTGAGATGGATTTTTTTAAAGAAGAAAAATTAATAAATCTGGCATACCAATATCTTTCAGTGATCTCACAGAATGAAGAGGATCTATAATGCTGAGGGTGATGCTAAAAAGTATGCAAGATTGTAAATCCCACAAATCTTTATTGAATTTCATAGCCACATAGCCAATTATGGCAACAGACATGGAGAAGCTAACTGATCCAGTTAATAAGACCTGTGAAGTCAATTTATATGACAGCATTAGATTTAATATCCAAAAATGGCATTTCATTATGTCATAAAAAACAGATTTATTTTTCACCATTATTCTGAAAAATAACTTTTGAAGGTCTTGTAGTTTTAACTACCATCTTCAAAGAAATAAAAATCAGTGCTTCCAAGCAAAACCTTTTTGTTCCAAGGATTAAATTAAAAATATTTCTTATTACTATTCAAATTTAGTAGATCTCAATATTAAAGTCTTCTTAAAGCAGAATGCAAATTGCTCCAACTTCCATGTGAAAAAAATTCCTAATTCCCTCAATGTCACAATAAAGTATTACTGATATATTCTCCAGTAAGTAACACAAACTTAAATATCAAGACTCTCTAAAATACTAAGAAAGTATTCTCTCCCTTAACATTTTTATAATTTTATAGTAAACAGTTCTGTAAGAGGGCAGAGGGAGGTCATAAAATGTTTCAGACTTAATGATTTACTTACCCATAGTTTTCAAACTTCTACTAACTTATGGTATATACTCAAGTAAAATATTTCTTTTCCAAAGATATACTTTAGCCAAACCAAATCTACTATAATTGAGTCAATTCCAACTCATTGCAACTATAGAGAGAAGAATTGTCCCATAAAATTTCCAGGGCTGCTGTTGTTGTGTACTATCACATCAGAACTGACTCATTACTGACCCTCCAGCAGGTTTTCAGAGACAGTTGATTGCCTGGGAGGAGACTGTCCATCCTTCTCCCACGGAGAAGCTGGTGGATTCAAACCAAGTACCTTCAGGATTGCAGCTCAGCTTCTTGCCACTAGGCATTTCTGCCTAAATATATATATATTTTTCTATTATTCAATAAAAAAGAAGAAAGTAAGAACTTAGTAATGACTGATTAATACAACTTGAGATAACTCAGGAGCCTTGGTGGCACTATAGACTAAACATTGGACTGCTAACTGAAAGATCCACTGTTCCATGGAAGAGTTAGGAAGCAGTCTGCTCCCACAAAAACTTACAGTCTTAGAAATGCTATGGGGCAATTCAGCTTGTTCAATAGGATTGCTACGAATTGAGATCTACAGGATGGCAATTAATTTAGAAGGACTCAAGGTTAACTAGTTTTAGTCCAGCAGTCTCAAGCCAAATGAACAGCAAAACATAATTCCTTAATTATTAAAAGTCCTGGTTTCAGTTCAACAGTCGAATCCAAATCATCTAGCAAGATTTGCCTCATAGCTGCTCTAAGTCAATTTCTCCTTCAAGTATACAGCAAGAACAGCAAAAACCTTTTACTGTCTCCTTTATCTAAAGATTCCTCTGGTTACACCTGGCCACAATTTCTCCACAGCAATGTCACTGTGTCTCCATCAACATCACCAACAGTTCTTGTTCTCTCTCTCTCTCTCTCTCTCTCCATCTTTGGCACACAGCTGTTGATGATTTGCAAGTTAAGGTAGTTGGAGACCAGATGGGGGCTAAGAAAATGGCTTTAAAAAGCCTGACTTTAGGCTAATGCCACACAGGGGCGTGTTGGTTTGTGGCTGCTCTACACAACAGCAGCAGGCAGGAAAAATTACAAAATTTAGAAAACACAGGCACAGGCAGGAGAGATTCCCACCAGTCTAAACATGAGACCTGAGCGGGCTGCTGTATAGAGGTATGGGACCCTGCCTCCCTCAACCTCACACCAGATAGCAGCAAAGGAGAAGTTGGCCTCTGGCTGTTCTGCATACCTGCAGCATCAAGGACAATTACAAACCTTAGAATAAGCAGGCACATGCAAAAGAGATTCCCACCAGGCTACATGCAAGACCTGAGAAGACAGCTGCATCGAGGCATGGGCCTTGCCCTACTCACCCCTCCTTAGATAGAAAGAGTGCAACATTCAGCAGGAAATGTGTCTCTAGCTACATTGTGGACAACCAAAGACAATTATAAACTTTAGAAGAGGCAGACAGCCCTCAAATATGATTCCTGCAAGGCTGCACAGCAGTCCAGAGAGAAGTTCAAGGACTTTAGGAAAGATGACCTTTCCCACTGAATAATACAGAAAAGATACCTGGTATAGCAAGTTGCCCTTATCCATAAAAGGAATACATTAAAGCTACAATTAATCAATGAAATCATAAAGATAAAGAATTGAGCGCAGCAGAGAACTGGAATTTGAACCACACACAGGACAGCTGAGTCCCAGCCAAAAGACACCAGCCAAGCCACTGTGGAACCTACCCACCAGGGGCAAGTAGGGAGCAATCACCTGCCACTGTGTGACTCCAGAGGAACAATTGACCACCCCCAGCTTCTACGAGACCCTGAAGGAGCAACCACCTGCCGACCACCATGGAACCCCAGAGGAGCAACAACCGCCAACCACTGTGTGACCCCAGAGAAGCAACTGCCCACCACTGCATGACCCCCCTGCGGCCCCCTGTGACCCCACCAAGGAGGGTGCCCCTGCATAAACCCCTAGCAGCACCCAAGCCCCGCCCCCTGCCTCCTGGTGGTAGAGTCCCAGCCCTGTGCTCCAGCACCCCCCACAGCCCCTTGCTTCCTTCCGCTCCCCCCCCACTCCTTGCAGCTCCACAACTACACACCTCAGCCCCCACCACAGTCCTGTGACCCCAGGACACCACCATGGATCCAGCCATCACCGGGAGCCACCAGCCAAGCTACTGTGGAACTAATCTGGCAGGAGAAAGGCCGGTAGGATCCTGACAGGGTTTTATAGGGCACTGCCAATTACCTGGGAGAGCACCCAAGGGCATGCCCACTGGTGGGGAATTTTGCCAGCCTCTCTTGGGCCACACCAACTGCCCAGAAACAAGCCAGCCACTGGTAATCTGTCTGAACTTTTGTGGACTCTGCAGACCAACCAGAGGCTAGTGGGTTGGTGGGAATTTGACTTTGACTTTTCAGGTCATGTTGGATCCAGGACCCTGCTTGGGCAGGGGCTGCTGTGTGAGGGCACCTGCATAAGTGCCACCAGGCAGGGACCACTGAGTGAAAACCACTAGGTGGGAAATGGACAGTGGGACCCCAATCGTGAGCACACTCGGACAGCTGAGGTTCGAGCGAGGTTCCCCAAGTGTTTGACCTGTACTTCAGATCACCACAACCTTGTGCCTGCCTCACCCCATTTGGCTCCACACTGGTGCCTACACGTCTGGGCAATCAACTTGCCTTTAATCGGGAGCACCTTGCCCTGTCTTACCAACAAGAGATTGCCCTCACAGGCTCTGAACTGACATTTCTCTGAAGTCAGAAGTTCAGAGAAACACACAAGTGGGGTAGCTGCCCAATTGATCTCTAGAGCATTGTCTTCAGATCAAGAACATATCAATGTCTCGAAGAAAGCAAGCTATCCCACACAATACACAAGAGCAAAGCAAGATGTCACCCGCAAAAGGTGACACATTATCAGTGGAATTCCTAAAGCCAGAAAGTCTGACACAGAATTTAAAAGAGGAGTGATTGAATATATTCAATGGATGAAAGAGAAACGTGATTATACAGGATATCACAAGCAAAAACCAGGAGGAGCTCAAAAAAACAAGGCAGAATATTGCAGAGAAAACAAACGAGGCATTAGCAGCACTGGAAAAATAAGAATCCACTATTCAAAATATAAGGTCCAATGTTTCAGAGACTGTCAACATGATGGAGGGACACATGACCAGAGTTGAAGAGATGGAACATAGAACCACTGAAATTGAAGACAGAATTGTCACCACTGATCTGCTAGAGCAAAAAGCATACTCAAAAGAGAAGGAAAAAGAAGAAAACCTAAGAATAATGTGGGACATCATCAAGAGAAATAACATGCACATCATTAGAATCCCAGAAAAGGAAGAAGCAAGTAAAGACACTGAAAAAGTTGTGGACGAATTACTAGAGGAAAACTTCCCAGGTATAATGAAGAATGAGAGAATATGTATTCAGGAAGCTCAGTGAACACCATATAGATTAGACCCCAAAAGAAAAACATCAAGGCATATCATAGTTAAATTTGCCAGAACCAAAGATAAGAAGAGAATCCTGAAAGCAGCAAGGGAGAAACAAAGAGTAACCCATAAGGGAGAACAGATAAGGTTAAGTGCCGATTTCTCAGCAGAAACCATGCAGGGAAGAAGAGAGTGGAAGGACATTTATCAAACACTCAAAGAACACAACTGTCAACCAAGAATACTGTACCCAGCAAAATTATCCATCAAATATGAAGGACAGATCAAGATATTCCCAGAAAAGCAGAACATAAGAGAGTTTGTAAAAACAAGACCAGCATTGCAGGAAAGACTCAGAAATGCCTTTTTACAGACATACTACAGAAAGCTGCATGGTCCAAAGTAACTAGCAACAACACCAAAAAGAACTCAGAGCAATGATAGCAATAAAACCTAGCCTCTCAATAGTCACACTGAACGTAAATGGTTTAAATGCACCACTGAAGAGAAAAGAAGTAGCAGATTGGATAAAAAAACCAAAATCCATCAGTATGTTGTCTACAAGAGACACACCTGTAAAATGAAGATAAAGACAGGCTAAAAATAAAAGGTTGGGGAAGAATATACCAAGCATATGGCAACCAGAAGAAAGCAGGAGTAGCTATATTAATCTCTGATAAAATAAACATCAATGTAAAAACCATCACAAAGAACAAGGAAGGTCACTACATAATGCTGAAAGGGTCAATATAATAAGAGGACATAACAATAATAAATATCTATGCACCAAATGAAAGACCTGCAAAGTAAATAAAGCAAACATTAACAAAACTGAAAAAGGAAATAGACAACACTACTATAGAGCTTGGAGACTTCAATACACCACTCTCAAGAAAAGATAGAACTACCAGAAAAAAACTCAACAGAGATACTGAAGAATTAAACCACACATTAGAACAATTTGACCTCATAGATATTCACAGGCTAATGCACCCCAAAAAAGCACAGTATACCTTATTCTCCAATGTACATGGAACGCTCTCCAGAATAGATCACAT